GATTTGACAGGCAAAAGTCTTGAGGAGAAAAGGTACTGCTCTGCCGCTTTCCTCGACATCTCACAGGCATTTGACCAAGTTTGTCATGGAGGATTGCTATATAAAATTAATAAGTGTTTCCCACATGAATATTAGGTCTTATTCAAATCGTACTTGACTGGGAGGTCGTACTTCCAGATCAATCACAAGGACGAAGTGACCTCGCTACGCCCAATCATATCTGGTGTCCCGCAGAAAATTGTTTCTGGACCCTTACTCTATTTAATTTTCACGGTTGATCTACCAACTCTTCAGCACGCCACTATATCCACATTTGCTATAGACACCGTTGTTCTAGCATCTCATCAAAACCGAACTACGGCCTCACAGATTCTCCAAATAAGTTTGAATAGCATCGAACATTGGTTCAGAAAGTGGAGAATTAAGGGTAATGAAACTAAGTCGGTGTATGTAACGTACACAATGTGTCGACAAACTTGTCCACCCGTTACACTGAATGGCAGTGCCCTACTACAGGCTGATGACGCTAAGTATCTTGGCATGCATCTGGATCGTCGACTCACCTGGAAAAAGCATATTACGAAAAAAAGAAAACAGCTGGGACTGACAGTAAAAAGATTGCATTGGCTAATGGGTAGATACTCATCCATCTCAGCGGAAAACAAAGTCTTAATTTATAAGACGATTATAAAACAAATATGGACTTATGGACTACAACTTTGGGGATGTGCCTGTAACACAAGTATCGACATCATACAGCGGTTTCAGTCAAAAACGCTCAGAGCAATTGTCAATGCTCCCTGGTTCTCGACTAACGAATACATTCATCAATACACTGGAGTCCGATTTGTGAAGGATGAGATAACGGAACTCAGCAGCAAATACCAACATCGACTGGAGGACCATCCAAACCAAGTTGCCTCTGAACTTACACACACTGAATCTCATCGACGAAGATTGAAATGATTCCAACCACAGGACCGCCCTAATCGCTTTTGATGTTAGTGTCTAAATAGACAATAAGACTTGTTTGCGTGTATGTGTTCGTGAGTTTTTCTTTTATAAGCACTATGTGGAGTTTGGTCGCTGGATCAATCTCCAATATATATTTTTAATGTTTCTCATTATTAAACCCAGAACTAGAGCATGTTATCTGTTTTTCTATTTTGTAGATAGATTGCTTTGTAAATAATAAAAAAATTCAATATACATGATTAATACAACTGGTACTTCCTTAATTCGCAAGAACATATTCAATGTTCATACGGGCGAACATTTATAACTCAAAGCATCTTGAATCTATAAATGTTTAAATTTTATTAGAAATACGTACTTCTAGTGAATACTAAACTCACATACATGTGATTTAATTATTTGATATTTTCGTATACAAATTTGCTTAATTCGCAAGAACATATTCAATACGGACGATCATAATCGAAAACGAAAACAGAGTTTTCCATACTTTATATGATCGTATGATTAATTCCCATATAAATTATTGTATTTATGATATTTTTGGTAGACTCATGTATTTTTGTTCACAGAAACGTACTTATAGTTCATACGAACGCACCCTTAATAATATGAGTAATTATTAAACTTGATGATTTTTATTTCATTTTATTCAATAAGATATAGTTTTAAATGAAATTAAATGCGTATACTTCTACCGATTTTGGTATATCCTAATCACTTTCATATATTTAATGAATATTACAGTTTAGGTACATAATATTGATACAAATTGTCGTACGTATAAACATAAATACATGCATTCACGAAGTTTTAGGTACATGTGTCTTTTCATTTATACTAACGTACACATTACATTTTTCATAATTTATTTAGAAGAACAGTCAGTGTTCTGTTAACGTACATAATGTCTATAGCCTATGCAGCCTTTGACTACCAAAAAAGACGACAGATTTGCTTTGGTTTCAAATTGATTACGTGCTTCAGTATTGGTTCGAAGTTCAAGTATTGCCTCTGCCAAACCTGGAGGTTCTTCTGGTATGTTAATAATTTCACATTTAAAACGATCTACAACCCAATTCACAGTTTGTACATCAAGATCTGGAAAGGAGTCAGAGAACCGCTCTCTGAGTTTGGTAAGATGAAATTAGAAAAAAATCCCTATTACCAAAAAAAAATTATTTTTACCCCATTTCCCATTTCGTATAAAATTCTTGTATTTATGATGTTTTTGGTAGACACGTGTTTGTTCGCACGAACGTACTTATAGTTCATACGAACGCACTCTTTTCCATGTGACTAATTATTATTCTTTAAGTACATCATATTCATTCAAATATTAGTACGTACAAACGAATGTACGTTAAGCTTAAATTCGTACATTTTCAAAGTTGTTTGTACACAAGTATCTAATCCTCCTTACTAGATTCATAAACATTGTAATAGCATTTTTATACATACTAATCTCAATTTATACCAATTTTGAAATGGAATTTCATTTTGTTCCTGATTGTTTGCGTTTCCATCATGTCTTTCTTTAGAAGATACATATCATTATTTAAAGCTATTAGAAAACCGAATACATGAATCACGCTGCACATCTATAAAAGAACCAATATCCTGTATTAAAAATTATATATTTTTTTATTTGGATTTATGTTCGAATGATTCGAGAAGCTACAACTGCATTGACTATAATAACATAATTATCCTAATGCAATTACTCTTCTATTGATTAACATAAATATCAATGCAAGTATTAATGATAAAATCATTTATTCGTCACTATTATTCATGATGATCATCGTTTTTCTCACATTTTCTTATTATTTTTTTTTTTTCATAACGATGCAGCGATGTGAATGCATTTGAATATTCTCCAGCTTTGAATAGATTAACTGTGCATGTGACATACGTTTATTTATGCTTAGATTATGGTTATTTGCATGCACACTTAATACCATATTTAACAAACATTCCTAAGCTAAATACACTCTTCAAAAAAATAATTAAGTAATAAATTAAAATTTACGGCATCTCCGAACGTAAAATTCCTATTTGAAAATGTAATATATCTTCACATAATTAGTTAAACGATTCAGTAGTTAACATCATTTGTATGCAATTAGTAATTTCAATAAATCGTTACTACTTTAATTAATTGTTAGTTTAATTTTATGATTTTATTAGTAATGAATATCCTTGTAATAAATTATTGTATTTTTTTAAAACTATAATTACAGTTCAACGAGTTGCCTACTTCATAAATAATTCATAATTATTACTAAGTTTTAGATATTTGTAGTTCCATCTTTGAAGCAACTTTATACACTATACTTTAGCAATAATTAATTTCCTAACAATAAAAATATAAAAACAAAGAAATATTTACTGAAAATTAATAGAATATTAGTTCTTATTTTTCCTCTGATTTCTTAATAATAAAAAAAATCATATTTCAATCAATAATTAACATTTTTTATATAATTGTTACAACTAAAGATGTGCAACTAAAAATGATCATAAAAAATATTATTGTTACAACTAAAGATGATCATAAAAAATATTATTAAAAAATGTATACTTTGAGAATGAATTTATTTTATCTAAAACATACAATAAATGTATTAAGTTTTTTTTTCTTACAAAATATAAAAGCAATTGCAAATTAACCGGTGGCAATCGCGACAACCGACGTTTGAAATGCCGACTGAATCAAAATCCCGACTGTATCGAAATTCCGACGTTCAAAATCCCGACAGTATCGAAATCCCGACGTTCGAAATCCGGACTGTATCGAAGTCCCGACGTTTGAAATGCCGACTGTATCGAAATCCCGACAACCATAATCCCGACTATATCGAAAATGTCTACAATAACATTTTTAAATTATTCCGAAGCATAGTGACTTTTAAATTGTTATTAATAATAAATAATAACAATTAATAATCTAATTCTATTTGAGATTATTTCATAATTTTAAGGTTTATTATGAATAATTCAACAAAGTCGAATAAATTAATAATAATTTATTGTTATTAATAATAAAAGTGTAGTACAAGTTGAAATAATTTAAAAATGTTATTGTAAAAATTTTCGATGTAGTCGGGTTTTTGATATAGTCGGGATTATGGTTGTCGAGATTGTGATATAGTCGGGATTATGGTTGTCGGGATTATGGTAATCGAGATTTTGATATAGTCGGGATTTCAATAGACGGTCTTTCGGTTGTCGCGCTTGCGATATACATCTAAAATTAACATATCTCGAGATATAATTAGTATTACTTATATATTATTATATCAGAAGATTCCCAATTAAGACCTTGTTAATATGTAATTATCAAAAATTAATACGTATTCTCAAATTAGATAATTCGATCAAATATTTGACACGTTATTAGAGAATAATGATAAACACTACAAATATAATAGAAAGCTCATTGGAAAGTCCATAGTTTTGTCTTTAATTTGAATATTTGATGATCATTGTAGTAAACGTGACTATCGAATAATTAGATTAAATGTGAGAGTATAAACTAAATTTTAATAAATTACATATATCAATTAATATTTAATATTACATAACAATTGTCATTACTCGAATTATATGATCTGTTTTTATGTAATTTTATAATAATTAAAATATTTAACATAGCTGAACTAAAAAATCTTATTAGATTGCGGTTTTGGAAAAATTTTGAATTTCTTTAAATTAATTGGAATGTTTACTTAAGAGTATAGTCTAACAGGTTTATAACTATTTCAAGTATAGTATTAATTTTAATCTATCAAGTAAACTAATTGGATTAAGTTTTGTGTAACTTAGTGGAATTCTGGTATAAATGTAGAAGAAGTTGCATACATTATAAATTTTAAAATAATCTATTATTTTGTGCATATAAAGTTTTAAAGAAGAATGTTGAATGGATTTAATTAAATAATTGTATAATATAAGTTTTATTTAATATGCAAATTAGTAAATTTAAAGGATTTGTAGTTATTTTTGAGTTCGGACTTGGGGACCCTAGGATTGTCCGCCATCTTTAAGGCATTAAATAATGGTGCATGCCGCTCTCTTAAATTAATTAAATTTGTGAAGAAATATACGTTGATCTTCCTGGAATCTTAGGGTAGAAGATACGATCAGAATGTCGTCGTTCTTCACGGCCAGGAGCATTGCCCCAGGTAATTTAAAGATCCTAAGAAAATCTCGCACAAATAGATTATTAAGGTTATGATTTGTTCCTTTTTTTGCTCAGTGTTCAAGCAGACTTTGAAGCAATTCATATTCAACTGCGAATCGATCAAATTCCAAAACCAGGGAAAGATTGTACAATGTGTATTCACCAATTACACTCAGACTAGGAATTATGCGAATGAAAAGAAGGTGTTCGAAAGGACGAAGCCTCATTGCAATGTTGGTACTATTGGCCATGTAGATCATGGTAAAACTACTTTAACTGCTGCCATCACCAAAGTCTTGTCCGATAAGAAGTTGGCGGATGCTAAGAAGTATGCTGATATTGATAATGCCCCGGAAGAGAAAGCTAGAGGTATCACTATTAATGTTGCTCATATTGAGTATCAAACAGAAAACAGGCATTATGGACACACTGATTGTCCTGGACATGCTGATTACATTAAGAACATGATCACTGGTGCTGCCCAGATGGACGGTGCTATTTTGGTGGTTGCTGCTACTGATGGTGTCATGCCACAAACCAGGGAGCATTTACTTTTAGCCAAGCAGATTGGAGTGAAACACATTGTTGTTTTCATTAATAAGGTTGATGCTGCCGATAAGGAGATGGTTGAATTAGTAGAAATGGAAATTAGGGAATTGATGACTGAGATGGGCTTTGATGGTGACCATGTGCCAATCATCACTGGTTCAGCTCTGTGCGCTTTGGATGGTAAGGAGCCGGAGATTGGTTCGAACGCTATTCTGAAGCTGATGGCTGAGGTCGACACGTACATTCCGACTCCAGAGAGGGAATTGGACAAACCTTTCCTTCTCCCAGTTGAGCATGTTTACTCTATTCCGGGACGCGGTACCGTCGTCACCGGCCGTTTGGAAAGGGGTGTTCTCAAGAAGGGCGCCGAATGCGAATTCATCGGACACAACAAAGTAATGAAGAGTACCGTTACCGGAGTGGAGATGTTCCATCAGATCCTCGAAGAAGCACAGGCTGGTGATCAGCTCGGCGCTTTGGTGCGCGGTGTTAAGCGCGACGACATCAAGAGAGGAATGATCATGTGCAAACCCGGCTCCGTGAAAGCCAACGATCACGTCGAAGCCCAAGTCTACATCCTGAGCAAAGAGGAAGGCGGAAGATCGAAACCGTTCACGTCCTTTGTCCAGATGCAGATGTTCTCAAGGACGTGGGATTGCGCTGTTCAAGTATTAATTCCAGGTAAAGAGATGGTCATGCCTGGCGAAGATTCCAAGTAAGTTTACCGACGCACCTTTTTTCTTCCACAAAAGATTTAATTGTGAAACGTTTTTTTTTTGCTTCGCTTTTCAGATTGGTGCTGAAAATGATCAGGCCTATGGTTCTCGAAAAGGGACAGAGATTCACCCTCAGGGACGGCGTTATCACCCTCGGTACTGGTGTCGTTACCGGCGTTTTGCCAGCGTTAACGGAACAAGACAGGAGCGCTCTCACCGAGGGAAAGAAAGCGAGGGAAAAGAAGGTCGTCGAGGCCAAGAAGTAATTTTTCAGTTTTTCCGTTTTTAAACAAACATTACTTAGGGAATATTTGTTCTATCGTTACCTCTGCATATTTTGTATCTTTTAAGTTGTAATTATGTTAATTATTAATTAAAAAAATTGTAAAAACTCTTATATAACCCATTTCATTATCCTTTAAATACAAAAATTAAATAGATTACAAAGAACAAATTGAGTTTACTTTGTTTACAGTTAATATTGAATGCTTAAATCTTCTATACTATAGAATCTATAGTAAGTAAACGCTTTTAAAATAGATTCCAGTCAGTTACATAACAAATAGTTTAAATTCTTCAAATGATTGATGCTTATTGTGTAGACATTCCGAATTTAAATAACATGTCTAAATGGTTTCGAAAATAACTAAAAATTATGGATATTCTATGAAATTTTGCAAATATTCAATACAGCTAAAATATATAAGAAATTCTTTTCATTACGTAATGTAATTCAATAATAATTCATAAACATTTCTTTTGGTCAGAAATAAATATGATGGACATTATTTGTAATAAAGAAAAATATAAAGAATTATTTGAATCTTCAACACAGAAATAAATATACAATGCCTCGCATAGTGCGGTTCCATCGATAAATGATTGGAGCAAAATAAATTTATAATTATTGGTACGAAGCATAAACTTAAAATATAATTAATAGTATTCATCGGGAAATTAATGTTTGACAGCTCACGAAAGTTAAGCAATATATGTCTTGAATGGGAGACATAAGCAGATGACAATTGTTGACAGAAGCAAATATTTAGAATTAATATATATTACGTTATTTAATTACATCATTTTAGTATTGTTAAATGAGATAAGAAACGTTTACTTTGGGCATAATTAATTAATATTAAACGTTAAACATTTTAGAAATATTGTAATAAAATTTACATAATCGCAGTCAGCAGTGGCCATAAAAAAGTGAGGATTACATTAACTACATGTATCACTAAAAAAAGACTTGCTCGGCTTGTTGAAAAGGTTTTAAAATTTGCTTGGAAAGTGTTTTTGTTATACTGAAAGAAGTGCTAATGGAAATACGAGAGTATAATGCAATTACCGTTGTTGTAAAACGTCTACGGAATATAAAGAACAGGCCAAAACCAGATTCCATCATAGGGGAATCATTTCTATTTTGTTAGGGTAGACTTATATTTGTATAATCAAGTTTTCTTTAACGTTTGGAGTTACTTTTCAAAAGTTATTTTTATTCATCTTTATTTACTTTTTATAAGATTGTTTTATTTAAAAAAAATTATAAAAAATTGTAAATTATAAACTATTATTCAATAAAAAAAAACACTGAATATTTTAAGAAAGTTGAGCTTCAGAAGATAATTTAATGAAATATTTTATATTTAGTAATTTTTATCGTGTCTAATTTGATTAGTAAATGAAATTGTAAACTATTAATGCAGATGATCATAAGAAAACACTGAATTCTTTGAAGAAAGTTAGAAAATCGTTGAGCTTCAGAAAAGAAATTAATTTTATTTACTTTCAAAATATAAATAGATTTAATTCGGGTCTATATCGCAAGCCCGACAACCGAAAGACCGTCTATTGAAATCCCGACTGTATCGAAATCCCGCTGTATTAAAATCCCGACGCTTGAAATCTCTACAATAAAAATCCCAACTATATCGAAATCCCGACTACCATAAATATGTTATTTTAAAAATATATAATAATAATAGACACTGTCGGGATTTCAATATAGTCGGGATTTTGATTGTTGGAATTATGGTAGTCGGGATTTTGATCCACTCGGGATTTCGATAGACGGGATTTCGGTTGACGGCGATTGCCACCGATTTAATTCTTATCGAAATTTTCTATTACTTTTATTTAATCTAAATTAAGGTCAATAAATATTAAAGAAATGTAATATTCCATATAATACATGAAGAAAGTTATTTCTGAAAAAAAAAAAAACATTGAAATTTAAAATATAATTAAATAAATTAATATTAATAATATTTTAGCGGTGAAAAGACCTATGTTTACCGTATTTACGTTGATATTTGCAACCGTTGATATTCTTTGTATTACTATTATACTTGTATAAATACGTTTTTTATGTCTTCCGCTGTTAAGATAAATATTATTAAGATATTTGACGTTCCTTCTTGTAAACTGATATTAAATTATCTCTAATTAAATCTATAAACTAAATTTATGTACATATTTTTTAATATCATTATTCCAAAATAACCGACTTAGTTTACATCAGTTTGCATCTGTTCGTACTCAGGACGTTCAAATATTTCAAATAATAAATATGTAAACATTCATGGAAGACGTTGATTGTCATTATCAAAGTTTTCACGAAAGATGTTATAAAAAAGGTTTCCTATTTTATGAACTTAATTTGATATAAAAATGAAAAACAATGTTGAATCATTAAAAGAAATTAATCTTGCTAAATAACTTAATAATGTTGTTGTCCATTGTACAAACTATCAATAAGAAATAGCGCACACAAATTGAAAAGGAAACTCAAAAGATTTGAGTGATTTTAGATTATTTTTGTAGCTAATAAAAATCAGTGCAAATCAGTATTTTTTTTTTTGTAAAATGAGTATTTCAGAATTGTTGAGTGCTAAAACTAAATTGTATCTTTTATTTATTATCAAATTGTTCTTACTTTTCTTACGTGACATAATTCACAGATAACAAAACAATTTTTGTAGTGGAAAATAACAATAAGTATTTCCTGTTGAAGCGTGTTATTCTTTTGTACTTTTAAAGATGTTTCCTACCTGGAATGATTTTTTTTTAAATTTCCTTTGACTGCGATTTTTTCAAGAAAAAAATTCATGACTTTCAATTCTTCGTTTCGCTATTATCAATGCAGGATGCTGAACATCTGGATAGAAGAATAGGTTGAAGCCTTATGTCATGACCAGGGGCGGCTAGTCTGTAGGGCCCCATCTATATTTGTATAACTAGTCCAATAATTGTTGTTTTAAAACATGTGTTTCTTGTAATTATTATTTTTTTGATCTATTTTCAATATTGTAAAATGCGACTTAGTACAGGCTCTGTGGCCCTTTCAACTGTGTTGGCACGTGGGTCTATATCGCAAGCCCGACAACCGAAAGACCGTCAAAATCTCGACAACCAAAATTTTATTTTAATTTTTTTAAATTATTTCGGAGCGTAGTCACCTTGTGCTACACTTTTATTATTAATAGCAATAAATTATCATTAACTTATTTGATTTTGTTAAATTATTCATAATAAACCTTAACATTATGAAATAATCTCAAATACAATTAGATTATTAATTGTTATTATTTATTATTAATAACAATTTAAAAGTCACTACGCTCCGAATTAATTTTAAAATGTTATTGTAGAAATTTTCTATATAGTCGGGATTTTGATATAGTCGGGATTATGGTTGTCGAGATTCTGATACAGTAGGGATTATGGTTGTCGAGATTTTGATATAGTCGTGATTTCGATAGACGGTGTTTCGGTTGTCGGGCTTGCTATATAGACCCATGCGGGATATCGTCTTAACATAAAAAAACACAATGAATTAGTTGACAAAAATAGACAAACTTTATCGAGAATCATAGACTGCATAACATTTTGTGATTTACATGAATCGGCATTAAGATGACATGACGAATCGATTCGAATAATCGAAGAGTGTTTTTAGATATGGTTTCATACAACGCTATAACATTAGTTAGTGTGTTAAATGATCATCTTAAAAATGCAGAAGTAGCAAAAAGTCTTCAAAAACGAAACAAAATGATATTTTATACTGCATGTATAAAGTGTATAAAGAAGAAATTAAAAGTGAAATTGATAAGGCGAGTTTTGTTTCCTTACAAGCAGACGAGACAACCGATGTTTCTTGTCGTTCGCAACTCATAATTATTTTACGTTACATAAAAGATTCACAAAATAGAACCGCTAGAAGAATTTAAATCTTTTAGTCTCATCCCAAAATTGATCGCACATGCTTACGATGGATGAGCGGATCATGAAATGGAGTACAAAGTTTAATGAAAGAAGTTTACCCTAACGCCCATTATGTTCACTGTTATGCCTGGATTTAATTTTAAAACAAGTCTGTTCATCAAAAAAGCGAATAAGAACATTTTTTTTTCTATCTTAAGTGGATTTGGCGTGTTCTTCACATCATCTCCAAAACGAAATGACTTACTTCGCGAAATTACTTAAGTACCAAGAGTTTGTGAAACACGATGGAATTTTCGTTCCAAGATAGTGAAGAAGAATAAAATAGAGCTTCTGGAATGTTTTAACAAAATCTTAGACGAAGAAGGATGGGACGACAAAAGCGTATGGGAATCGGTTGGATTCAAAAAATCGTTGGAGGATTTTGAGTTCAACTTCTTTTTATCTTTCTCTTATTCTGTTTTAAAACATGTAATGTACTCTATAATAAATTGCAATCAAATGAAAGTACCAACATCACCGTCAAATAAGCATTTGATAAATTTGAATCATCCATTAATCAGTTACGAAATTGCATCGCTGATTTTATTCCTGCAACAAATCGTGACAATCGCCAGGAAATCCCTAAATACACGACAGAATTACTGATAGAAGATGCTAAAGAAACCTGCGATAAATTAATGAATGAATTTAGTGATAGATTCAGCAGCTTCGAAATATTTCAATCATTTTTTATTGTTCAACACATTAAAAAAAAATATCCAATGCTAAGTGAAGACAAGTTGATATCAGAATTAACTGTTATGTATGAAAATAATGCTTTTAATCATCATTACCTTATCACGTTTTATGTAAGACAATAATCTGGTCGATAATTCGAAGTGACAAAATTAATTGAAATTGTTTTAGTCACAGCTAATGCCTAACGTTGTTTTAGCACACTAAAACGCATCAAAACACTTTTACGAAATACGACAGGACAAGATCGGTAGAATGCTCTAGCCGTACTATTTGTCCGTAAGGTTTATTTAGAAGAAATTCAATAAAGTAATCGAGAAATTTGCTCATATGAATATTTTTAGTAATAAAAATTGTTACATTTGTCTTGTATTTTTTTGTGTCTTGTCTGTATCTATTTTCTTTAGTGTCTGTCTTTATTGAATCCCTTTTGTTTTGATAATGTCACTATATGTATAAGAATTATTATGTTCACATTGTAATAAATTTAAAAAATATATGATTTTTCTTTGACTTTTATGTGTTTGTATTTATTTTCGTCATCAGTGGATTTTAACTAAACACTATTATTGTAATAGAAATAATAACTATAAATCAATAATAGAACCCACTTTATAAATATAAAAAAAATAGTTGTTTTTGGTCCCTGGCACCACCTGTTTCAATTGTCACCAGCCGACACTGGTTATGATGATATAATTCCTTTTAGATAAAGAATAGTACAATTCTTCGCATAGTACGAGAACCGGGCTGATAGAAACCGGACTAACCGAAGACAAAAAGAGACTTCATTGTATAAAGAGAAACAAAAAAAGATGATTTATACGAATTATTTTTTAGAATTTATTTTGTTTTAAAATTTTAAAGCCGGTCTATAGTGAATCTGGACTGAATGAAGTCGCACTAAGCGAGGTATTGTCGTATTTATTTGCATCCAGATTAATATCTAATCTCAAGACAATGTAATAAGATTAGTTATTATTATTAAGTAAATAACTATTCGGGAATTCATGACCTTTGATACGTTATGTAATTGTTTAAAATTTAGTGAACAAATTTAAAACAATATTATTTTCTATTATATTTAGATAATGTATGTGTCGAATGAATTAAGTAACAACTATTTGATGAGTATAGTTAACAATTGTTGTAAGTTAATGAACTTTATCGAATAGTAATACGTATAGACAACCAAGTTTGCTATATTAAATCAATAAAAAATTTGAAGTTTTTTTTTACGTGTTTATGGTTAGTTGTAAATGTAATTGAAAGTTAGTTAAAACTTAAAGAATAATTGTGTTTGTTTTATACGAAACATAATTTTATTCAGATGTGAAACATTAAACATTGGCAACTTAACATACACTCGTGTTCAACAAATCTAACGTTGCGTTATTGTATCAGTTATTACTTATATCCTCTTGGTCAAATAATTACACAAAACAAAAAAAATATAATCAAATGGAAAAAACAATACTATTCAAATTGGAAACGAGTTATTCTTTTATTATTCTTTGCGTGTGGGATCCTCTCGAGCATGTAAATCCGCATTCCTTAAAATTTACTTAATACAAATTTAAAAAAATAATTTCTAAACGGCGAACAGCTTCCCCGATCCGGAAAGTTCATTAATTTAGGAGAGAAAACGGAGAAAAAAAATTGATAATAATAAATGCTTGCAGAATTGAACTGATGACAATTTCTACAAATCGTCATCATCCTCCGGCAGGGCCGTTTCCTGGGCTTCCTTGAGATCCTTCTCGATTTGCTGTTGCCAGTGAGGATCCATCTGGACCTCTGGCGGGACGAGGGCTGGCATGGCTACGAACTCCAAGTTGGGATCACCAATCAGTTTGCGCGCCAACCAGAGGAACGGTTTCTCGAAGTTGTAATTCGATTTAGCGGAAATGTCGTAATACTAAAACAAATATTAAATTAATGTTATGAATAAAGGTTTATAATTGTTTTCGTTTACCTGAAGGTTCTTTTTCCTGTGGAACACAATGGTTTTGGCTTTCACTTTCCTGTCCTTAATATCAACTTTGTTGCCGCACAGAACAATTGGGATGTTCTCGCAGACCCTTACAAGATCCCTATGCCAGTTGGGGACGTTTTTGTAGGTGACCCTCGAGGTAACATCGAACATGATTATGGCACATTGACCTTGGATGTAGTAGCCATCACGGAGGCCTCCAAACTTCTCTTGACCAGCTGTGTCCCAGACGTTGAAACGGATTGGGCCCCTGTTCGTGTGGAAGACCAAGGGATGCACCTCAACACCAAGGGTGGCCACATACTTCTTCTCGAATTCTCCAGTCAAGTGGCGTTTGACGAAGGTGGTTTTACCGGTGCCGCCGTCTCCGACGAGCACACATTTGAATGTGGGCATCTCCTGCTCTTGGGCCATCGTGTTTTCTTTTTGGATACTGGGGTGGTTAACCAAAAAAAAAAAACAAAAACAAACGCGTTAAACAAAAAACAAAACAAAAATACTGGTGGTTTCTGTTCGGGGTTAGACGAGGGTGCTGAACATGCTTGCGTTAGTGTGCACGTTTTTGGTTAGGATTTGATTTTGAAGTTTTATGGCGCTCAAAAACGTATCACAGGATTTTGGTATTTACTTGCCGACTTCGGGAATATCTGGCGCTGAGAATATGGAGCCGGGAACGGAAATACCGGTCGCAAAGCGTAGACAAAATCGAACTGAATTTACCTTTCGAGCAATAAACCGAAGTAAACGCCGATGGACTTGAATATGTTGGATGACACTAACTGACACCCAAAGTCGTTACGGTCCACAATGGCGTCCCCTGTACGCAATCCCTACGCGTTTCTCTACCAAATGCGAAAACGTTAACAGGACGACTTTTACACAAGGAAAAATCGGAATATCATAGTAAAAAATCGTCGCAATCCAAATATTCAATCAGTTTTCAAATTCGCTATAGGGAAATCGCGTAAAAAATTGTTGAAAATTGAAAATATCGATGACGTCACCGGCCGGGCCTGACGTGAGCGGCGCACGCGCGCCGCCCCTCGGCCACTGCAGAAGCGGCGACCGAGGGAGGCGCTATCGATTTTGGCGGACTTTAGTGTGTCGCCTCTCGTCTCGCTTAGTTTTAGTGCGTTTCGTATGTGGGAACCGATTTGAATGGGCTTTCTTTTACCAAAAACAGAACTGTTTCGCAGTGCGTGATTGCAGGATTGCAGCAACGCATTAAAAAATGACTAAGGATAGATTAGCGGCCCTCGTTGCGGTAAGTTTACCGAAAAGCGTTTTCATTCAACAAAACTGAGAACAGAGAAAAATAACCGTCAAAAAAATTATTTTTTTTTAGTTCATACTACTCCACACCAATCAAAATAGATTGTAAATTGTGCAATTGTTCATTCATAATGTCACATTCTTGAAGAGCAAATCAAAGAATCCTAGATTCCTATATTTTTTTGACGTTTAGGTTAGGTTCCCCCCTTTTTTCTGTTCACTCAATTCTTGTCCCCTTTTGTTTTACGAATTGTGTAAACCCCACCCGATATATTTTTGTTGTTATTTCCAGTTTGTTTCTTAGATTTTTGTCTTCACAAATTTTTTAACAGCTGATTTGTGCAAATCGGGGCATGTCAGTTAGTAGTGTGACTCATGGTGCACTTCAAGGCAACAGGAGTTTTTAGAGAATTTGCACAAAAAAAACTTTATACGTTTATGCAATTATATCTTTTTTTTTTGAAGTACGTTATTTTGTAACGGTTATTCGGTATAATTCATTATCGTATTACGCAAAGATTCAAAAAAAGGCAACAGGATTTTTACTTAATTTGCACAGTTAAATTCAACAATTAAATCTTTATTTGGCAACATTTTTACACACTGTGTACTTCTACAACAATTTTACTTAATTTGTTAAATCTTTCGTTTTTACAATTATATTTTTAATGATATTCTTTAAATAATTCTTTTCAAATTTGTATGGATTATAATACAATTTGGGTCAAAGGGTAAATCAAATTTTTTGTAAATTTTATAGAGAATTTATAAACAAGTAAAAATTAATTAAGACAACATTTTTCTTTTAAATTAAAAAAAAATAATTCTTATTCTTTATATAAATTCTGTAAGTTTCGTATGATTATATTATTTTATTCTATTAATTTTCAACCTTTATTCGGTATTATTCATCACTTGATTTTGTTATGTAGTTATGCAAGTGTTCTAAGGAAAAACAATAATAATTTAGTATAATTCCAAGGTTTTGCCTCGTGTTTATAAATTTGTCCGTTAAATTTTAAATCTACATCTTTAAAATGTCCATTTTCTATTTATATAATTAATTAAAAAGAAATAATTGTTTTAAAAGCGTCAATTTAGTTGTGTACTAATTTAGAAAAATATTTATTTTTCTTGAAAATTTGTAAGATTTTGGATTTTATTAACGTAATAAATTTAACGTTATTGATAATATAATTTTCTTAAACTTAGTTTATTCACTAAATAAATGAGAATGTAAAATCAATAATTACAATAATTACTTATTTAATGGTTTTAAATATTTAAGAAATACAAATCCATTATTAAATTAGGGCAGAAATTTTGACCAATAAAAATGAGTAAATAAATTATTTATACACATTAATAATTAATACTTTTATCTTGTATAATTTTATTAAAAATGTTTTGTGGTACTTTATTATAACAGGATGTTAAAATGAGTAACTATAGATTAGCAATCTTTGTTTTTATAGGTCAATTAGAATGAATTTTACGTAAAGTCAAGAAATTTTGTTGTCAATATTGTTTTATTCTATAAATGACTTACCTTTATATTAGGTTATAATATTACTAAATTATAAAGACAAATAATTTTTAGGATAGTTTTTATCCTATGTTTTTAATAATATATTGCAAAATTTTACGTCAATTTGTTAATATGTTGTTATTTTACATTTGAATAGCAGATTTGTGCAAATTAAATCTGTTGACTGATTTTTAATACCAACAAGTTTAACTTAAATTTGCAGAAAAAAATAAATGATAATTTCTTGGTTCTCGTTTTTTAGTTTTCATGCCTTGATTGCAATCATTTTCTATTTATAGATACTCATTCATAATTTGATGAGAAATTACTTGTTGGTTCAATATAGAAATTTTTTCTGCTTATTGTTAGAAAGTAATTGAAAATATGGGAATCCTTTCATTTCGTAGCTTAATTCTGTGGAAAATTGGAGAAAATCGAATTTCGATTCAATGAACACACATTAGCTTTGAAGAACTGTGAAAGTCTGATCAATTTTTTTTTGGACTCATTCCAAATTTGAAGAAAATAACATTCATATAATTTATATATTTGCTAGTAATTACATTTAATTATAGAAATAGATTTTTTTTAAATTATTAGTTTAAACCAAATTCATACGCAATTTTAACTATACCTAAATTTGAGTAATTAAATGAAATTGTAAATATAATTATTTTATGGTTTTTATTAATAATTAGTTAATTAACTAAAATTTTAGTATTATTTCTACCATAAGTTGACATCTTTTTGATGTATTCAACACATTTCTCATTGATTTGTCATAATATTTATAACTAGAAACATTTTATTATTAATACTACACTTTTTAAAGAAAAAAAACCTCTAAAAACAAGTACACGTACATTAGTTAATTGTTATTTATCCTGTAATAACCATCAACTTCTTCATGCCAATTTTTCTCTAATAAAAAAAAAACGACATCAGAATCTAAAATCTTTTGCTCATCTAAAATTTAGCTGAAGGTACGAAAATATAAGATGTGTACTAAAATATCTGTATTATTTTTAGGCCCAAAGTGACGACGATGACGTTGGTCCCGATGATACTACCATCAACGTCGAAGGCCGGGATGGCTTCATGGATGCATTTTTCCAGGAGGTAAATAACAAATACACAATACTTCACTTCGAATTAGAAACCGAGGAGAAAGTTCTCGTTTTTTTGTTTGTTGCGGACGCTTGGGACCGTGAAGAAGAGACGCGGAACCTACCTTAACACAAAAATTCTCCTTCGGAATCACCGTTGCATTTTCTGCTCCGAATCGATTGATGGAGATACGCAAAAACTCTCCCCTCGTCCAATCGATTAATAAAATTGCTGAAATTTGCACGTTTCAGCTTAAAAGCCTTTTCTTTTCGTTACCTTTTTTTTAATTACCAATTTTGGTTTTTGTTATTATTGATTATGTTTATAGATTTTTTTTTATCTAATTACGTAGCAATTACGTGGATGCGATTCTATTTACAACACAAAATTGTGATGATTTCAAGTGTGTATGAATCACGTTTACGATTAGCGAAAGTTATTTTTTATTGCGTGGGTTACGGTGTGGAACTGTGACTTTGCGAACGTTACCAAATAGAAGATGTTCCAATTGTTATTCTCGATGACAAATGCATTGTAATTAGGTGACTAAAGGTTGTCAGTTTTATATTGGTATCTTGCGTGTTAGACGAGAATGCGTGTACAACTTATTTATTGAGCTGCAATATAAAATTAATATAAAATTACATAAAATTTAGTAAAACGCGTATCGGCACTGTTCAGAATTGTACTTATCTGTAACATCCAAATTTATGAAATTTTATCAATTGTGATATAAAAATTTAAATAACAAAATAATCAAATTATTAAATTATTTCATCTATTTGATGTCACGGCACAACTATAGTAAAATTTGCACTCTTAAATTGTTATTGTCATTCAAATTTTCGCGACAAATCCTGGATCATCTTACGGTAAATCGTTTGAAAATAACTGGATTAGAGGTGATAGCTGTGAACATTTAACGTTTCTTTACAGTATATTTTTTCATTAGTTGTTGATAATGATATTACGGTAACCTCGAGAGGTGCAAAGTATAGAAATTAAAATACTATGTGGAAGTGGATCGATAGTTATAATATAATTTCTAAAAATAAATGCGGTGATTCATGATTTGCTAACTGTTATACAAGGTGCTGGCTGCTCTCAGCATTCGTTACTCTCGTTTCTTTTCAGTTGCAAACGGGAAGTCGAAACGTTGATTATTTCCGAACTTCTTCCGGTCATGTTTTCACAGCTAACAAAAAGTTATTTTATCTTCAAAGTTGCGCTCCACATTTGCTGTCTTTGAAGAGATAATCCGGATGCTGCGGATGTAGCAATTTCGGTTGTCACACCTCGCGTCTATTGGCGTAGACGTGAGATGCGTAGGGGATAAGCCTAAAACCATATATTTGACAAGCTGCACGTCATTCCTTGGTTTTGGACCTTTAGGGGGTGGTCAGAAATCCAATGCAAACCACACACCGCAAACAGAGATGGCTTCATCTACAATTCCGTATCCCATTACTCATCTCGTCTTTATTAAGTCATTCTCTCTTTGTATTCGTTTATTTATTTAATCTTTTCGACGAATCGATCTATTTGTGTAATGGATACGAAAATCTTATTGGTCGAGCGAACGTTATACCATATTTTATTGATCTATACAGACGATGAAAACTTCTTTTTTCTTGTATATATGCGATTTGTTCATTAGTTTTGGAACGATTTACTTTCATTGGATACTTTACTCAAGTATTCCCATAAATATCTATATATAAAATGATAGGTAATAAAAATATATCAGAACCACAATAAAATATGATTATTTCAAATCAATATTATCGAAAATATTTTGGAATCCAATGAAACCATTTGATATTTTTTGTACTCATTAATATTTTAGTTAATTAATGATCAAAATTAATTTCAATTTTTTAAAAGTAAATATTTTTTTAGACTAATTATGGCCATTGTTTCATGTAAAAAATATATTTTAATTAAAAATATCCTTTCATAAACGTATTGTAAAATTGAAATTTTATTTACTTAATAATAAATCAAGAATAATTTGATTATTCGAGACAAAAAAAATATTTTTTAACAACATTTCGTTTAGAAAATATTTATAATTGGACCCAAAACAATACCATGTGGGATTCATATAAATTTAATTAAATTTGTAGTATTATTCTCTTTTTTTTTCAAATTTGTAATTTATATCTTTATATTTTGAAGATAAAATATGTATTTCAATTTACATGAAAATTTAATTTAGCTTGTTTATATTTGCATATACATTACCTTTCTGGTGTAAAATTAATTAAGAAAAGCGCTCTTTCTTATTTTACTTTTATTTTATCCAGAAAATTTTCATCAAATTACACAAACATTTTATAAAAATATTTGGATATTTTATTAAAATTTATTAAAAGTATATATTTAAAGTGATTACTTGTACTTTTTCTCATTTCCTCAATATAAGATGATGTTAAAATAATTATGTTTATTTTATAATTTTCTCTAATGAAATTTTACGTTTATTTTTGCATCACTTTGAATTAAATTCCTTTTTCATAATTTTAATTAAAATATATTATTTTTAAGATAAACATAATAATTTTATGATAAATTAACCATTAATGAAATGTTTGTATAATGAATATTTAAGGTAAAAATTATGCATGTAATAAGCTAGAATTGCATTCGTTTCTACAATACTTGTTGCTAGAAAATTGTAGTTTCGCTGCGGTTTATTTCGATTTATGTTCTCAGCGATTTATGGCTTTTTCGGAAACGCGTATAGCTTTCATGTACAGTTTCAAATTTTTAATTATGATTTATCAGTTGTTAGGCTAATTACGTCGTGTATTGCGAAGACAGAGAAATATTGCGTTCCAGAAAAAAATAGTATACTTTTAATAATTTCATCATCAACAAATTTCACTTTATTTTCTCTTTAGTATTAAAACTAATAATAATACATCTATGAACTAGTAAAATACTTATTTTCTTCAATCTTTGACAAAATAATACTTTGCTCTTTATATCTTTTCTAATTAGTAAAAAAATATATTAGAAAATACTAAATATAAAAGATGTTTGAGTATATTAACTTTATTTTTAATGAACTTTTTTTTTTCTTATTTTAACTATTATATCAAGTAAATTAGAATTATTGCAGTTTTTAGGTTGTTTTATGTGCGGAATTTGAGATATTACTTAAATTTGTTTGTTTGAGCAAGAGTTATTTTTACATTTGACTAGGCATTATAATTTCTCCGAAATAACTATTGTGTGCATTTAAAATTACGAATGATCACTGCATGATTTTCAAAACAAGTTTGTTGCAATACTCGTATATACTAATATTAAATTTACATTTAATTTGGCTCATATTTAAAAAAAAAATATAATTATTAAATATGCATTCAAATACGAAATTATTCAAGCCGATTTAACGGTAATTCAAAGTGGATTTGTACCAGATGTCTGTGTTCGTGTTTATGATTCATCGATAATTGCATGCTTAGGGCGTGTCACAATAAGGATTTATCTGAATGTCTGTCTATATCAAAACTTAGTTTGTATACGATCAGAATTCCAATCTATAAATTTAGGTTTATTTTCTTATGTACCAATTAGAAATTTAATTTGTCTCGTATTAAAATTATTTTTTAATTGAAAATTTATATTTTAATCAGGATTCCCACATGGTTTTGATCTTGGCCTTATTTCACAAATACTTCAATAACAAATATCACAATAAAATTAAAAATTAAAACATTAATTGAAGAGAAATAAACTAGTTTACTAAAAATATAGAAATATATATAGAAATATATAGAAATTATTTTGGAAATACTAAATTAACATGTTGATGCAAATTCATGCAATTTCAATGACAAAATGTACATATTAATCTTTGTTTTTTTTATGAAATGGAAGTTTACCAACAGGTGTATAAATATGGGATTAAAATGTTCAAAGTCACGTACTTGTAATGTTATTTGCTGTGACAGGTGTAAGATGTGCACGTATTATTGAATCCTCAGAGACCTCAGTTCGTTAAACATATTGTTATACATGCGCAGATTAAATGATAATACAAATGTCATGTTATCTAATCAAGGTTAATTCGTCAAGGATTGCGAGGGAATTCACGTGATTCGTACTTGCATTTAGAAATAGAAAATTATTGGATGGTCGCAAACGATGGATGGAAAAGGTTATTTGAAGCGACGTGCGTGTCCGCGTCTCCTTCTTTCTGTCCGCAAACAACCGTTTAAACGAGACAATATTTTCACATCAATTTTCCGCATCGAAACGCGGTTAATAAATAAAAATTTCTGTTTTCAATCTATTAGGGGAAAACTAACAATACGATTATTATAAATTTTAATCCAATATACGCATTACTTGTTACGAAACAATATGTAATCTGGCTGCAGAGGATACGCATCACGTGATTAAATAGTGTGCACGTTGCAAATCGAAAATCCCCCCATGCATATGAACATGTTTACTCTGGCGTTTTAAACAGTAAAATGCGGATTTTCCCGTGTCGATAAATGCAATCCATTGTTTGATCCTGTTGTTTATACAGTCTGTATCCTTTTAACGTATGTTCGATAATACGTACATTGTCATTTACGACAGCGTTTTCCAAACTGTGAGGCGCGCCTACTCTACTAGGCGGACTAGTCTAAGGGGTGGCGCGAATATTAGTTACAGTGAGCAATTTTCCAAATGATTAAATACTTTTAAGGGAGGCGTGTAACATCAAGTTTGGAAACCACCGATTTACGATATTCTGACCACATGTGGTGAATGGAAGATATCGTGTACGTTCTTATGAATGTTGAGTACGTTAGTGTAAACAATAGACATGTGTGCTTAAAATCATAATATGGGAAATCACCATCATATTAATTCCCTTACCGTACGTCAATTTGCTTTTAGGTACGTTAATTGAGATTTTTCAATGTGTTAATTGAACAAAGTGAAAAAACATTAGAGGTGAATATATTTGCGTTTGAAATTTATGCTGATATAAAAATATTGCGGCAAGTGTACGTTCGTATGAACATCAAGTACAAACGAAGTTCAAGTTCGTTTAACTTGCATTTGATTATTATTATTTTGTATAGGCTTTATCTTGTATATCTTTGTCTTTAGTATTATAATGGATTAAAGTGAAAAATATGAAATATTCATGACTATATATATTTCCACTCGTATTATAATCGATTAATGTGTGAAAAATCTGGAAGATTCAGAACAATTATTTGTAATTTATCCGATTAACTTCCATTTGTTTAATGTACATTTAATTGTGTACGTTAATCGAACAATGACTGTTCATATTTCCCTTCGTGCTGTAATGGATTAATGTGTGAAAAAAAAACATGAAAGGATCAAAGAGGAACAAATGGATGCATTTTCACTTTGGCCGTTTATTTTTGGCACATTCGCGTTTTCGTGCCGCTTTCGGAATGAGAATCTCAATGGTGATTTCGGCGCGAAGATAATCCGGAAAATGGAATCCCCAGGTTCGTTACGCAACCTGGGCCCGCCGAATGTTCGCCAGGCACGGAAGGAAATCAATGCGGAAAAGCGGTGGGACTCGACACGGCTCCTCCGCGCGGCAAATCAAATCAATTTAAAGGAGCTTAAATCCACTGCAGGACTCGCGAATCTCTCGCTCCTCTGACTCCGACCTACATTCTGCACAGATTTTTTTTGCTCCCCCGTTCTTGGTTTTCGTTTGTTGTGCCAACCCTACTATATCGTTTAATTTTTTCCGTAGCGAACGATGCGTAAACCTCTTTGTCCCTCGGCGATTCTCTAAATTGTCTCAAGCCTGAGCGGAACATTTGATCATTGCAAAGCATTGCTGCAGAACGAATCCATTTTTTTTTCACTCTGAATTTCGAGTTGAATCACCAATCCGAATATTACATCTTTCGATTACTTTCCAATTGATTCGGGAAAATCGCATAAGCAGATTACAGAAATAATGGTGCGTATACACTATGCTTGAGAAGGTACAATTTTCTACAGTGTGTACGCACCTTAATAAATAAAAAAAAACTGATTGCACTAATTACTAAAATACTATTTCTTTGGTATAAAAATTTCCTAATTTTTTAAACGAAATTTTCAATTAATAATACAAAAATAATAATAAAAACTTATAATTATGTTTAACACGAAGCTAATGAACTTGAAGCAGTATTGTCAAAAGATGATGTAAGAAAACTAATATAGCGGTGAAAGTGAAGGTGATTCTGACCATTAAGAATTTAAAAATAATGATTCAGATACAATTGCCAATGTTGAGACGGCGATGAAAAATAAGTAATAATAAATTATGTATAAGTTTCTAGAATTTTTCTCTTGCAAAACAAAATTAATATAATGTATAAAATCACAAAGTATTTAACAAATTCAAATTCTTAGTACATTTTTTTTACACGAATTTTAATGTCAAAAAAGAAATTTTGCAGTACAAATTTCTATATTAAATTAAGACTAAAAGATTAATATGATTTAATTTATTTATTACATAAGTTTTAGTGCAAATAACTTTGAATTATATTTTTTTTATTATTATTATGTAATAAAACTAATTCACTTATTGCAACATGTGTGAAGAGACTATATTATTATTGTCTATTTATAAATAATATATGAAAATAGATTGAATATTATCTTGATGGAAGTATAAAATAAACCTATTATTTCATACGTTCAGCAATTTTCTCAATTGCTGCCTTCTATTGTCTTAATACCCGATATATATTGAAATGTTGATGAGCTGTTGAATTATCAATCGTTCAACAGTAGTAATAAATAAACCATTATAATCTTCACTGTAAACTGTTGATAGTTTAACGACTGGATGTGAGAAATGTAAGAGGCGGCACAATACTTTTCGTGAATTACACACGGTTTTGCACATTTAACGAGAGGGATTATCCATCTAGTTCAGCTTTTAGTGGCGTAGCTGTATTTCGTAATCTGGGCGCGGCAAATAGCACCTCCGGGCGCTGTCTTCTTATTCTCAAAGTAGTGTTTCTGCCGAGCTCTGCAACATTGTTAACCGTGATACATATTCACGCCATTCAAGTCACCCTCCGAAAACTCATCCACCCTCCATCGCTCACTGCACATCCCCCCTATTCATCAAATGAGGAATTTCTGTGGAACGCTTCTACTTTGTTTAACTAAATTTAATCAATTTAAGTTATGCACTCTCAACTTTAAAGATAAATGCTTCTTTGTTTCAAACTAAACATTTATTTTAACATATTAACAAACGCCTTTTTTTTTATCTAACAACAACAATTTATATTTATTATAATTTACTAAAAGTAGAAATTCCAATGGAAAGGTTAAAAAAAACCATAATATAGTGTTAGATGTATAAGACAAAGTAAATAAAATTTTATAAGTAATAAATTAGATTTTAAAACATATTGTAATAAAGAACATAATCGATTGCAGCGACATCTAAAGCCGATTTTATGTATTCAATATTTTATTAACTGTTGTATTCATTCTTGCATTGAGAGATAAACATTTACTTGTAAGTAATTTATAAGTTTGAAGTATTTAATTTTTCTTGTACAAAAAGTGGGACAACAATGTTATAATTGTATTAAAATTTGTTTGATGATATTAAATTTGGCTTCTAAGAACGGAAGTTACATCCTGATCTTATTACATATTTTTTTCTTAAAAGTGGATTGAGTCGTGGTTTACTGAAAGTGTTTAGGATCGGGTGTCTGCCTCATTCAAGCTAGTTAAAACGTTTCTCTCGTGGTTTTCCCAGAGAAACAGTTAAAGGGTTCACATTACTAAAACCCAATATAAAAAGCCAATAAAGAATAGTGTATCTCGCGGATTTGTACAAACCGTAATCCTGTTAATGGATATATTATGTATTCGGTAATAAAAGTAAGTGGGTCGCAGCACGAGATATAATTATGTTTAAAACCGCGATGTCTGGAAGAGACGAAACTTTTGTAGAGTTTTGGAGATGAGCCGGGACTACTTTATTTACGATTACACACTTCAAAGTGATTGACGTCCATGCGAGGGATGTTAGGGTTGCTTCCAGAACATCCAATTTCGTTTTATTTGCACTGCCTGTAACAAATTTCGCCCACTTTATTAGGTGATCTATCCTTTATTGATTGTTTTATTTATTCTATTTTATTTTTTTCAGGTGGAGGAGATACGCGACATGATTGATAAAATACAGGCTAATGTCGAAGAGGTCAAAAAGAAACACAGCGCCATCCTTTCGGCACCGCAGAGCGATGAGAGTAAGTGGAACCAATCTATTTCGTAATGCTCAGATATATGTTTACCCAGACGAGCTTTATGCAAATATTAAGATGTCTTCGGGTAATACTACCGTCATTCGCGTTATTAGGTATTAGTAATCGCTGAGCAAATATGCGATTAATGTCGAGGCGCCATCTATTATAATAAGCAGTATATTAGTATCTACAATTTAAGTACACATTCACCAAATGGAGATATTGCAATAATTCAAGTCAAATAATTAATATAGCTGCCATTAAATTAATATTCTACTAAAGATTTATGTATGAAATAATTCAATTTTGTTTGTTTTCTTTATGTAAAGTTGTGTTCACACTATTCATGATTTGAACCATACATGTCAGTTGTAGCAATTATGTCAGTTATGTGTTAACCTTAATAGAAGATAATTGATTCATCTGACAGGTATTTGACACGTGCCACTTATAGTGTGGATGCAACATAATATATATTCAGTGTAAAGTACATAATAAGTAATTGATATTACCAATTCGTTTAAGCTCAATGCATAACTACTAGAAGTTGATAGTTACAATATACATTATTTAATATATAGTATGATTCTCAAAATTTAGAAGTGGAAGTTGGTACGTCTATATAACATCTTTTTTCACGTCTTGTGTGTACGTACCTTTATGCAAAAATATTCATGATTTCGATTCTTTTAAGCTAAATTGTTAGTGAATGGTGGATTTCACACCAGAATATATATGGGGACTCCATTAAAGGAGAGTAAAAAGGGTTGAAAAGAGATTCTAACCCTAAAGCCAAAATTATTCATGGCGGACATAAAGAATGCAGCGTGCTGGCATATAAATGTAAAGGGGGGACCTTGGTAACATATAAAGCACGTTCTTCTTTATTGGCGAGAGAAGCGGGCGTTGGAACCGAAGATATGTAGCTGTAAATAATTCTATAAATTTTTAATCAAGAAAAATCTTCCATCGACCCTGACTATATATTTCCTTTAGTGTCCTCGTAAATGTTTATTATTAGTATCCGAGTATATCTTTATACATACAGACATCCATTCTGTGTGTGCTTGGATCTCTTCTTCCTTCTTTTTTTTTTCATTCTGCCAAGGGAAGTTTTAGTGATTTTGATGGGGCTTTGGTGAACGACGTGCTTTTTAACAGGCGCGTCACGTTTCCGCCGGAAGTTCCGCTTTTACGGTCGGCGTAGGCTGCTGCCTCTTTTTTCCTTTCTTTTTCATTCCGAAACACTGACGCGAAAACACGATGCCAGAATAATTTTAGTTTAACCGAACTCCAGTTTACACGGTCCTGTGCATATCGGAATTTTCGAAGCTCGCTTCTCGTTGCCTTTTTTTTCGCATCACGAAATGTATTCAAATTTATTGCAAATGAAATTGCAAACTCAGCAGAAACACATGCAGATGTGCGAAGTTACCTTTCCTTACTGTTATTTATTCCATTTTAGAAGATAAAATAGCAATACGAACAATATTTTACTGTAACATTTTTATTCTCTTTGTAATTATAATTTATTCAAATTTTAATTTTTTGTAATATCAATATTAACTTTACTATATAATTGGTTTGAATCAACCATGTTCAGAGAACGTCTGAAACATGTAAATGAAGTATTCTTAGGGCTTGCCACCTTCTTGATAATGCCATCACTATTTTTTTGTGTCTCCGCACTCTTCAACATTTCACGGATAACATTTTCTGGCTCTAGCAGAACTCCCAATTCTGCCTCTGCAGCACCTAAAAAGCGTGTACTCAGGGCTATCGTCCTCACAGTACCATCACCATTCGTCTTCCTTCTTTGCGATAAAGTGCAGGTACTTGCCAAAGCATCCATGACCAGACATCGCCTGGCTAAGGTGGACGTCTAAAACATTTAAATGAAGTTTACTTCGGGTGTGCCACCTTCTAGCACTAGTTGTTTGCCTCTCCAATGAAGTGCATGTGAAGCATCCATGCCCAGTGAACGACATCTAAATGTAGAATACTCCGGGTTTGCCACCTTCTAGACAGTACTAGCACTAGTTGTCTGCGTTTCCTATGAAGTGCTCGTACGTTCTGAAGCATCCATGTCCGGAGGACGTCTGAAACATTTAACTGAAGTTTACTTCGGGTGTGCCACCTTCTAGCATTAGTTGTTTGCCTCTGCAATGAAATGCATGTGGAGCATCCATGCCCAGTGAACGACATGTAAATGTAGAATAATCCGGGTTTGCCACCTTCTAGATAGTACTAGCACTAGTTGTCTGCGTTTCCTATGAAGTGCTCGTATGTTCTGAAGCATCCATGTCCAGAGGACGTCTGAAGCATCTAAATGAAGTTTACTACGGGTTTGCCACCTTCTAGCACTAGTTGTTCCGCTCTGCAATGAAGTGCATGTGAAGCATCCATGCCCAGTGAACGACATCTAAATGTAGAATACTCCGGGTTTGCCACCTTCTAGACAGTACTAGCACTAGTTGTCTGCGTTTCCTATGAAGTGCTCGTACGTTTTGAAGCATCCATGCCCAGAGGACGTCTGAAGCATCTAAATGAAGTTTACTACGGGTTTGCCACCTTCTAGCACTAGTTGTTCCGCTCTGCAATGAAGTGCATGTGAAGCATCCATGCCCAGTGAACGACATCTAAATGTAGAATACTCCGGGTTTGCCACCTTCTAGATAGTACTAGCACTAGTTGTCTGCGTTTCCTATGAAGTGCTCGTAGTTCTGAAGCATCCATGTCCAGAGGACGTCTGAAGCATCTAAATGAAGTTTACTACGGGTTTGCCACCTTCTAGCACTAGTTGTTCCGCTCTGCAATGAAGTGCATGTGAAGCATCCATGCCCAGTGAACGACATCTAAATGTAGAATACTCCGGGTTTGCCACCTTCTAGATACTAGCACTAGTTGTCTGCGTTTCCTATGAAGTGCTCGTACGTTCTGAAGCATCCATGCCAGAGGACGTGCTGAAACATTTAAATGAAGTTTACTACGGGTTTGCCACCTTCTAGCACTAGTTGTTCCGCTCTGCAATGAAGTGCATGTGAAGCATCCATGCCCAGTGAACGACATCTAAATGTGGAATACTCCGTGTTTGCCACCTTCTAGAGTCTAGAATCTAGACAGTACTAGCACTAGTTGACTCGATACTTGCCGCACTTATGTTCACGCACAACCTCTTGTGTCAAACACCATATTTCAACTATAGCTTCTCCCATTTTTTTTTGTAGAGGAGAGGAAACCTTACTTAGGGACCACGGGTGGAGTCGTGGTACTGTGGGATTCTTGGCGCACTATAACCTCTCGTCTTCTTCGTTAGCATACAGAACCTGTATCACTGTACACCTCTGCGATGCTGATTGTCCTTGCCTGTTTGGCATTTTCCGTGGTTCACTTACTTGCTGGTCTCCAATGACCTCGTAGGCCCTCTGCAGCCTCCGCTCGTTTTCTTCTTTAGCCAGTAGCACATCTCTTCATAACAAGGAGCTCCATTGGTGGCACACCAGCTATTACTTGCACTGCGTCTCGGGAGATTGTACGCGTTGCATAGCTTCTCCCATCTGCAGTATCTATTGCATCTTGACAATACCAGCACTTGTTGCATTCTTCGTAACGAAGTTTCAAGCCAGTTTATCTTCAATACCTAGTAAAGAACATCATTTCTAACAGCCTTTTAAAGTAATCGGTAAAAGTTACCAATATTTTTTTCTCAAGAAAAAATAAAACTTATCGGTTGTCGTTTTCAAACTTCAATGTATTTTGATGATATTGGAAACCGAGGATAGAAACTACGAGATTGTGTTTTTAAAGTCGTTTTCTGCACGCCTCCGTGTACGTAATATATTTCCTTTTCTTTTCGCATCGGCATCGGAAGTTTTTCGCAAAAGAAAAATTACGTGCCAGGAGTGAGCGGAAAAAGATTGGCCGATCAATAAATTAGTTTTGTTGCTGTCACGAACATGAACCTCGGATTTTTTTACCGAACCCTATTCCAGAATTCCCTCAAATAAAAGGCGACGATTTATTTTCCACTCTATTATATATATATTTTTTTTTATCGAAATTTTCTTTTATTTCTATTTTTACTCATTCCTCTCAAAGTTTCCTCTAATTAACGTCGCAATTAAATGTTCTGAAAGCATCCATTCGCTAACAGAAATGAAATTTAATTAAATCAGTTTGTATCCAAGTGCATAATAATTGTTTGTCTGAAGTTCAGCTTTGTTATATCTGTATTTGTAATTTCTTTCGTTCCATCTTCATCTTCCGCGTAGCTGCGTCCGCATTTATCCACCAGAAAATTAGTCGGAAAAACACCTCGTTTGTCATCGTTCGTATTTCAAAAGCGGAGATGTAATAACTCAGACGTCTTCTGCCATCAAAGATACGCGCAGCGTGCACTCCTCAGTCCATCTATGCCATCCCTTTTTCCTTCAAGGATTAAACATCTTCGTTAATTGGGTCATTGCTTTCGGGTGTTTTTATTTTTATTTTTTTTTATTACGTCGCGTTCGGATAAAACGAGCGGATGATTCGTCTAATGGGATTTGTCGGGAACAAACTCTGAATACATATACGTATATATGAAATCGTTTGGGCTATATTCTTTAATTAAAGAAACCCGGGAAGTTTTCCATCCAAACCAGCAGCAGCAGCAGTAATTGCAAAATTTGCACAACGAGTTTTAATTAATAGGCAAACAAAACGGTCTTTCTTTATCCCTAGCATTTTCATCCGCATTTTCCGTGCATTTAACTTTTTTTTTTCTTTGTACTTTTTCCTTCCGCTTTCTAATTATAATTTTGCAGAATAATGTCTTTCTAAAAAGTACGATGCTTCCATGTAATTATCCTGTATGAATTGGAACCTAATCGATTATATGTTATGTGAGTAGTCGGGTTTATCAATAATTCAGAACGCTTTTTTCTACTCATTTGCTTCGTAAATATTTCAAACGCGCCGTTATGTATCGTTGGATAAAAATACAATGTATGGAAATCGTATCA